ATCAGGGGTGACATTGTCCTTGGTGGTTGTGAATGTGTTTCACAGGCCACACCTGTGTTTGCTGTTTATTCTGCACTGTTGGTCAAAAGGTGTGACTAGTGTCTTTGGCAGGGATTGCGGAATATTAGGAATAATTTTGACGGGATGTCAGGCATATATATATCAGCACTATGGACTGCTCGGGATGAGTCAGGTCCATGACGACCATTGTTGTAAAATTGCTGGAAAGCATATTCAATGGCGTTTAACTCGTAAGGGGGTGGAGTTAAGTTCAGTAGGGTCCAGACATGATGACTGTCCACCCACATTATTTAAAGTCATTACCAGTATAATTAGAATGTGTCAGAAAATGGTGACATCATTGGTAGCCACAAGAGGGAAGTGTTATCATTACATGTGTACATATCCATCACAGATGTAGATATGCTTTGTTCTCAGGTGACTGACTCTTGATAGGGAACATAATGCTGACTTTATAGATATGTGACATACACTTGATAAGCGACATCTCAGGTCTAGTGAACTTAATGGTGACACAACTGTAGGATCATCCCATACCCATTTGGGAATATTTTACAGACTGGGACAAGATACATATATGTCTGTTGTCAGGAAGTATCTTTCTAGAGGAGGGGTGGATGTCAGATATCAGTTCAGCTTTGGGATGAAAAGTACGATGTTGTTGAATCTTTGTGTCTGTACGAGGTAACCCAGATGTGAACTCTAGGTGAGACCAGACAGACCGACCTTGGGATAAGTTGTGGCGACTGAGCTGTACGCTTGGATTTCAGGGCAGCCTGGAGTCAGGGATGAACGGTGAAGGTAGAAAAAAGCTTTGCTCAGAGAGAGATCTCAGGAGAGAATTTTCTAGGACTCTGCGATGCGCGACAGCCTGTAGCAGACAGAGCATAGCGTGTTATTGACAATTATAGTGACAACAGGAATGTTTTTTAGCTAGGTTGTAGTTGTAATTTGTATCGTATGGTGTTTGACGAAGTTATGCAGTCTTATAGCATAGTTGTGTGGGTTAGGATTGTTTAATTGAAGTAGTTTAAAGCAGTTATTTAAGATTGTTATGCACTGGTTGTGGCACTAACATCTGCCCGCACACATTCACTATTCACTCTGAGTCTTTGGACAGGGCTGTACGAGAGTCGTGTGGGTTTGTGCCCAGTGCTTATCCACTGGAAGAGGAAGGCGTGACTAGCGATTTGTAAAGCAAGCACGGACTGTCTTTCGGATAAGGGGCACCTACAGCTCTAACTTCCATAGATTTAATGATCTTTGTACATTAAAGATTTTGTGTTTGCTCCATGGGTGTTCGGCTTGGTGTGTTTTTGTGTAGACCTATCTGTTACCAGTCTTTAACACAAGCTATATGTAGTATAAAAGACAGAAGGTAGTTGACACTGATACTAGTTCATTTTCTAACACAAAAATATTATTTATTTGCGTGGAGGACAGCAGACTGCTGCTGTGTGCTTTGTTTGTTTAGTTTTTGACTGAAATGACAAAGCTACCGCATAACACTAGTCAATACAACTGTCTCTGTTACCATTGAATGTTTTACAATGTATGGGGGGGGGGGGGAAGAGAGAAGGAAAAGGGTGGGGAAGGCAGGAGATAAATACAAGGCGCGAGAGATAGAAGGAAGGATGGGAGAAGAATGAGGAGCAGAGAGACAAGATAGGACAGAGTAAGGAAAGATAGAAGAGAAGAAAAGAAGAGGAGGATAGATAAGAGATGGAAGGGAGAGAGGGGATGAAGAGATGTGAGAAGGGGAGGAAAAGGGGGAAGGGAGGAGAACAAAACAGAATAAGGATATATAGAGAAGGGATGGAGGAAGAGAGGAGAGGTGGGGAATGGAAAGAGGGGATGAAAGAAAGAGCAGAGAGGAGATGGAAGATAGTGGGGGGGGGGGGGGGGGGGGGGGGGGGGCGCAGGCAAAGGAGCGAGAGAGGGTGAAAGAAAAGTAGAAGAGAAAAGTGGAGAGAGAGAAGTTGGAAGATACAGTGTAGAAGAAAGTAAAAATAGAATTCGGAAATCCAAATGACAATCATTTTTCCATTCTACACCTTCCACACAGTGCAAATTAAGTTTGTTCTGCTTTCCAGAAACAACCACTGTGCTGTGAAAGACAGCCCCATATTTTCTGCACACAGCTCCCAGTTTACTAGAAATTACTGGACACATTTGAAATGACTAGCCAAAATTAGGTCTAATCACATGCTTCCAATGAACTCTAATTTCCCTGTTGAGTTCCTGATTACAGTGAGCACATTTCAAGGATTCTGGTCCCTTTTTCAAAATGCTCTCAGCTATTTAGAGCCTTGCAAATATCAGCTGCTGTTCTCATGGTTTTTCTCAGTTTCAAGGCCTTGTATATAAGGCCAAGCGTAAAGACATTCTCAACAGGTAAAGACATTCTCAACAGGTAAAGACATTCTCAACAGGTAAAGACATTCTCAACAGGTAAAGACATTCTCAACAGGTAAAGACATTCTCAACAGTACTTAAAAGCTTAGTATCACTCCAAATCTTCTGACGAAGTAGAAAAGCTTATGGTGTAGTAGGTTTCAAGCCTTGACATTTGGTTTAAAACTAGAATAATTAGGACGTGTACACAAGAACCTAGATTGTGACGGACAGTCTTAAACTCCATAAAATTATTTTTGGAGTAATTAACAATATTTTATTTGTGTAACCCATTTATATCTAGCTAAACCTGATGTACTGACATGTAACTAGGAACACATATTGAGCAATGGCTAAAAATAAATATCCATACTTGGTAGGATGATCTCAGTCACAGGCAAGAGGGAAATTTAAGGCCGCTGTGCTGTGAATAAGGGGGAAATCCTATACCTCACCTTAGGAGCCGGCAGCTTCTGTGTTGATTTTAGAGAAAATTAGGCAAGACACCTGCCACACATTAACATTGTGCACTATGGATGGTGGCTAATATTATAATGACTAATATCAGCCTTAACTGCGCTGGCACTTGATTTTGAAGTTGGAGTCCAGAAGCAGAAAAGCTATGACATTTATCGGCATACCCCAGTGCAAGGGTTACGAATACACCCATCAAAAGGCTCTATCAGAAAATGAGCTCTCAAGTTCACTGGCCTTGATACCCACTGAGTGACTAATTTTGTTTCAATTGTTTGTTGAGCAAGTCTCTCCTATTTAATAAGATTCAAATTTCCATTCAGCAAAAGGTCCTGATGAATGATAATACAGATTCTTCTTTCTCATCATCAATTGCCTGAGTGAGTTTAAAGCATAGCTGCACCTTTCGACTCACACATTAAACTTCTTCATTCAGGCATTTGTTTCTACTGAGCAGCATCTTGTTGTATCATATTTGTCTTCTGGTCTACAAATGGTGCCAACCAGTGAACCCATCTAGGGCAGGTACATGCACCATGGTTGACCCTCAAGGGAGGGCAGGGCAGAACATGGGCAGTTACCACCATCCCAGGAGGCTTCCATAAATGGTGGTGCACAGTTAGTTCATCCCTGTGTGGGTTCTGGGGCCCTATCATAGGGAAAACCAGAATAGACCCACTGCCTACTCAAAAGCATGTCGTAAGAGTCGACTAAATGGGAGCTTCCTTCGAAGTCAGAGTGCATCTGCCTGAGAGGCAAGGAACCAGCAGTCTGCATACAAATGAGTCAGATCTGTAAAATGGATGCACACGTAACACTTAGGTTCTAGACAGGACTGCAGTCCAGAAGTGGATGAACAGCCAGAAATTTCTGTCAGAGTTTACAGCTGGTGAACGCGAGAAATAAAAAGTAAGTTCACGCTACACCCTGTTAAAAGCTTGCTGGTACTCTAAAAAAGTAATCATAAATATTTTTCTAACTTCTGTATTTTTCAGTCAGTATCTTTCGACAAATTATGGCTTCTCTCGCACTAATACTTTAAGAGACCTAAGTTGTTATTCAGAAACATCATGGTCGATTTTATTTTAGATTCTTTTTCTCTTCTTGGCACGTTGTGTTGTGATTTATAGCTGGACTGTGATATTGGCTCCTATCAGCTCAATATGTCAAATTTTAGAAAGTCTGGTTGCTTTGTACCTCATGCTTGTTATTAGGCACTCACATAAATAAACGGGGGAGGTGGGGGGGGGGGGGGGGGGGGGGGGACCCTTGAGGATGTAGAATTATTACAAATGTAATAAACAAACAAAAAATGTATGATAGAAAGAAGCAGAAAGATGCGCACATGCTATTTGGAGGTGACAGGTTCAATTCCTGGCACGTTAATTATACCTTTTTTTTTTATATAGATTTGTATGTTGTCTAGTGTGACCTTTTATCTTTCTATGAGTGCCCATCAATACACTGTCTGTTTGTTTTTTACATATATAATACTTTCTAATAGGCAGTAGTTTGTTCTTTGCCTCCTCATCAGAAATGAGGTGCAGGATCACACCAGGGATACTTTGAATTCTGTCTGGTGTGATCCGGAGAAGTATCTCAATAGTCAATAATCCTGTAGTCATACTAAAGAACAGCTTCTGACTTCTTGGGCAGCGTAATGTAAACATACATTTTTAAGTCCTTTAGAACAATCCAGTGTTACATACGCACATTCATCATTACTTTGACATATTCAATACCAAAAACAACTGTATCATATTGACTGTTTTGGCAAGGAAGCTGCCGAAGTGTAGCAGCAGAGCACTCGCCTGTGGATCTGAAGGTTGTGGGTTAAAGTCCTGGCCGTACCAGAATATTTTCCCAAATGACCTTGACTACCATACCAACATGGCCTTTAACAGGTATCAGGTAAAAGTCCTGGAAAATAGAGATGGCGGGCACGATGTTGACCATATCATTCCCCAAGTACAGATTGGTCTATAAAATATAGGCTGAGCACCCTATAAGTCCCATATGCCTGAGGGGTTGGGAAAAGGGTCCTTTACTGTTATGGTATCGGGGCCTGACAAAACAGACACAGATAAGTAAATAAACAAACACAGACTTACTTGTCTTCTCCTAGAACTACACCGAAGGCAACATGGTCAATTCGATGTTTTGCTTTGTCAACCCAACCTAGCTTGTCTGCAGCAGCATAGATTGATTGCAGGTGTGTGCTCTGTTCAAGAAAGAAGAACAAAGCCAATGAGAAAAAAAAAAGTATTAATTAGAGTTGTATCGAACATTCGCTTCAGGGCAGAATAGTGGACTAATAACTATTCGGCCAAATACTTGCTCTCAGGCCGAATACAAGTGGTTACCTTACACCCGCTTCTGCATTCACTGCCTTAATGCTGACAACATGGAACAAATGGTTTAGTTGAAAGCTAATGCAGCTTTCATGCATTAACTAAGCTGTCAGTGACAATTTACAAGTTTAGTTGCTTGTTATAATACACTAGCTGTACCCGGCCACGCGTTGCTGTGGCATAGTTTGACTAAATGAAAATGAAAGAAAATAGAAATCGCACGTGTCTAATACAATCATTGTCTGCTCAGATAAGAGATAGTCTTTGATCCCCGCCCCCCCTCACCACCACAACTAAATCCACCTACTACTCTCTCCCTCATCAAAGGTTTTTGGAAAAGAAAGACAATGGAAATCGCTCATGTCTGATATAGTTAATGTCGCAATCATTTTCTGCACAGATATAAAGATAGTCTGGTTTTCCAACTTTAGAACACGCACCTTATAATTGTGTCTTTATATTATTGGTCGTTTAAATGGTGTTATTAGCACAGTAACAAAAATGGTTATTTGGTTATCACATGCTAAAGCTGTTTGTATTTTAATAGGAGACGGAAGTAAAGCTACAACTGTACTTGTAAATAACAAAGTAAGTCGTAAAAAATAGAAAAGCGGAGGTAGCGTTAGTAAAATATAAACAAATTAGGTAATGAGAACTTGAAAATCACGTGTAAAGCTCTTTAAATTCTCTTAAATTTAAGTCATTACCCCCTCCCCTCTTCCACCGACTACTGCTCTCTCCCTCTTCGAAGAATTTGAAAATCATTACCTGGCGATATTTTTGTTGTTGCTGTAACTGACATCGACATCCCTGTCCATCCGGACTAAAATGGGGAGCAGGAATTATAATAGGTAGTGAATGGTGCTAGTGTAATATTTACCACATCATCCTTCAAGTACCAGTACAACTACTACCACGACCACCACCACAGTAGCTAAAATAATGTCACTGCTATCTGTGTTACCATCGGAGTAGACAGAGAGTCGTGAGCCAGAAGATTTGGTTCCGCATGGCTAGTGCTGTCGCCACAGACTGGTCAGGTTAGGATGTATAATTTCGCTTCCCGACAGAAGAACGCCATAACCTTACCGGCGGTCTTCACATGAGAGCACTACGGTGTAACAGCCCAACCACAACTATTACTGCTGCTGCTACTTTTAGTGGGTAAAGCAGTTACTGTGACTTAAAGCTCTCTCAGTTAACAGTTTGCCTCCCTCCCCCCTCTCCACACACACGAAAAAAATTCACCCACAACTCTTTCCCTCATTGAAGTAGTTGGGAAAAAAAAAAACTTGAAAAGCAAATGAAAACAGGAAAAGAAAACCCACCATAATTAGGAAATGAATGCTATGGTAAACATCACAGCTTAAAATTCCAACGCAGATGAAATAACTAAATCTAAATGAAAATAAATGGAAAGCTATGAAATTTCAGCGTAACCATGCAATCGGAAAGTTTAAGAATGCAATCATAAGTATGCGAAATGGTCAAATTTAATTATCCAATAGTTTACCCATTTACTTGTCTTTTTTTTTTTTTTTTTTTTTTTTTTTTTTTTTTTTTTTTTTTTTTTTTAGGATTAAGGGCAACATGGCTAGTGCTGTCACCACGACAGAGCAGATAAGGATATTATTTTAGTCCGGGGTTTAAAAAAAATTTGCTACTGCGGATTCGAATCATGGTCTCCCGCATACGAACCCAGTGTTGTAACCATTCGACCAAGCAGCCAGTTCATAGGAGCAACAAAAAGAGAACTAAACTATGGAGATGTGTGACCCTACTACTACTGTGTCTGATTATAACACAACTCAAAACCGCAGGCAATTGTTTTCTCATAGACAGATACTCCAGATATATTAATGAAACGCACAACAATAGAGATCGCACGTGTCTAACACGGTTAATGAAGTTATTGTCGCAGTCAATGTCTGCGCCGACGTCGAGATAGTGACCTTGATGCCCCCATCCCCCCCTTCCCATCGAAGGTTGTTGGAAAAAAAAAACAGAAAATAGAAATCGTGTTTAATATGGTTATTGTGGCAAATATAGAGATAGTCTTGTTTGCTGTACCTAGACCTACTCTATGTATTAGAGAAGGCGTTGGCTGCACGTAACTCGCCGGCGAATGGCGCAAGCCTTGCGTTCTGACTACGGCGGAGCATGCGCAATTACTAACGTGGCTATAATTAGAAATCACTAAAGTTATAAATATTAGTTGCGTATATTATTGCATAAATTGTGGTCACCTATCTCTAACAGTGACAGGTTAAATTTCAAACCACGACAGTTCAAAATCCGGTATCACAACAAACATATCCTGAAAATTTCAGCTAAATCGGTTCAGTAGTTTCCGAGTCTATAGGGGTGAAACAAACACACAAACATTGATTTTTATATATATAGATAATATACTTTCATTCCTAGTTATTAGTTACCACAGACTGACTGAAGGATGCAAAACATAAAATGTTTTTAAATGTTTACTATTCTGTACTACATTTTTCGAAGTAAAAGTTCAGCATACATTTGACATTATGAATGATTTTTTACATTTATTTTAAACACTATACACTATTAGTATTCGGCCAAATAGTGATAATCACCTATTCGGTACAGCTCTAGTATTAATCTCCACATTTAAGTCAAGGGTCTAGCAGTATTCAGTTCATTTTCATAGTCTATACAATTATTGTGAGTTAGAAGTAATCTTCACTTAAAATTCAAATATATAAACAACTACATAATATAATCAGAAGAAAACAGCAAATTTCTCAGTCTAAATGCATAAATACTACAGCAGAAAGCTGGTTGTTTCAGATCCTGAGTGTTGTGTGCACATTCACTTTACAGATCTTGCTTACTTGTATGCCTCTCAGGCAGATGCACTCTGACTTCGAAGGAAGCCCCCAGTTAGTCAACTCCTGCATTGTTGGAAAGACAGAGGATTTATTATTGTTTTCTCCACCAATGGGGCCACAGAACCCACATGGGAAACACTTCAAAAGAAGTCCACTTCTAGAAAGAAAAAAAAAGCAGTTTCTTATATTTTACAGGATTGGTGCTTAGCCTGGAACACGCACCATCTTGAGAACACCAAGAAGTTGCCACAAGTATGGGGGAGGGAGGGGTACTGAGGGAGAGATATAAGCTCTTAAGGGCTGCCTGGTGTGATGTGTTGCGAGGATGTGCTCACTAATATAGACAGTAGCATATCATCTTCCTCACAAGCAACAGAGTGTGCCTACCTGACCTGCATCCACTACATAGATTATCCAGTCAGCATTCTCCTCAAACAAACGTTGCTTTATGCAGGCGATGTCAGAGGTGTCATAAGTGAACCCTCCATCAGATTTAGTAACCATTAGAGGCACCTCAAAGCCTGGTACAAACATCACTGTACATCCATTCTCAACCTTTGTGGCTCCTGCAACGCAGTCGTGTTATCATTATTTATATAAGTCATGTAATCATTATTTATATAACTAAAAGTCATGTAATCATTATTTATATGTCATGTAATCATTTTTTATATTACTAAAAGTCATGTAATCACTTTTTATGTGCCTAAAAGTGGTGTAATCATTATTTATAACTAAAAGTCGTGTAATCATTATTTATTTAACTGAAAGTCATGTGATCACTTTTTATATACCTAAAGGTCGTGTAATCATTATTTATAAAACTAAAAGTTGTGTAATCATTATTTATATAACTAAAAGTCATGTAATAATTATTTATATAACTAAAAGTCGTGTAATCACTTTTTACATAACTAAAACAACTCTTAATCAACACATAGAAAACAACATCTTATCAAAGGATTTCAGGATCATCACTATCCCAATTGAAACTGTCAACTAGTGCTCTTATTTGGGTTTTAAGCTACTTTATGCAGAATATTTATTTGTAAGTGTTCAAAATTTAGCATGTTCCTTCTTTCCTTTGAACAAGGCCAGTAAGGACACATTAGCTACCTTCAAGCGGACACCAGGGAATTTCACCAACGACATGACCTTTATGACCAAAACCATTCACAAGAACTTTATTGTTTTCTTCAATTATATAAGCCTATCAACTGTGGAAGATATGCTAATTATTTAAAATTAATGTGTTTTTCTCTAGTTTTCCCTTTAAGTTTTTACATGTGTATATACCCAAATACGTTTTCTATTCTCGAGCTTATTCCTGTAACTTTTTAGGGGAAGTACTCTGGGGATGGCCGGGAACATACCGATAAAATGGGACTATCAGAGTGAAATCAGGATGAACCATTAGCCCACAGTGATGATATCAGGTCAAGCTGATGATGTTAGCGCCATGGCCCTATCTGGAGAAGGCATTGCTCAGGCCCTGGCACAAAGCCACAGTCCAAGTGGACGAACAACCAGGACTTTCCGCCCGAGCTTACAGCAGGTGAGCAAAGAAGAAGAAGACACCTGCACAAAGTATGACATGAAAATGAAAACTGAGGTTATGAGAACTGGAAGGAAACATGAAACAAATGATTATTAGCATCATCATCCCCCACTTTGTACATGGACACCAGAGAGAAAGAGAAAACACGGGCGCCCAAAAACAACATGGAGACGAACGATGGAAAGTGACCTGGGTGCGGCATCTTTGACATGGAAAACTGCACTGAAGATTGTACAGGACAGGAAAGCATGGAAAGTCCTCTCTGAAGCCTCATGTGCCACTAAGCATAACGAGAACTGATGATCCCCACTTTGCATGATCAGACAGGCGGACTACACATCATTTTACAAGTTGCTACAGGCTGGAACATTTCACTAAGCACTGATGACACATATTCTAGCCACAAACCCATAGCAGCCAGCTCTTTCACAACTTTCTCCATTCTTTCCTGGTAAAAGGATTCTCCTCTCTCCTGTAGTTTGGGTGAGATGTCAAGTCTGCGGTACAGAGCATTGTTGACTGGGGAAATACAAACAAAACTCATTTAAATTAATTAATCAAACAGAATACACACAAAAGTGTTATGCTGAACAGTGATAGCAACTGATCATGGGTTACTAGGGCCCAGAAGAGAAGCAAGGAACAGTACCACTGCAAACATACCAAGTGTTGGCCAAGGGGTTGGCTATCCAATTCCACAGAAAGCCCCAGTTGCACCAACTATGAACGCATCCAGAAAGGCACTAAGAGTTTCTCAGATAACCTAGATATGAGGAGGCTTTTCTCTGAGAAGGAACATGAAGTAGTATGGAGAAGTCTAAAGAAGCCTGGATCACCAACCTACTTGCTTTTAATTAAGAAACTCCATAACTGAAAAATGGAATGTTAAAACTATACATGAAATGAGAAAGACAGGGGGGAAAAAACTTTAAATAAAACTACATTGTGAAAGACGGAGGAAAAAGAACTTTATATAAAAACTACATTGATAAAAACGATGGAGAAAGAACTTTATAAAAAACTATATTGTGAAAGACGGTGGAGAAAGAACTTTATATAAGGATAAATTGTGAAAGACGGAGAAAAAACAACTTTACATGATACTGAAAAGTAGAACAGACAATCAATGACAGGGCAACATTAGAAAATGATACAAAATATTAGAGCTATATTTTTATCAATCAACCACTGTTACAAATTTACTACAGTATGTGTCCCAAATAGACAGTGCGCTTAAAGTGCCTCAAACACTTTCTTAAAAGGTCCCTGCTCTGAAGATGCTGCAAGTTTCTCTACATCTGCATATTGAGTGTATTCTCTTGCAAGTTAATTTTGCAAATGGGAAGGCTAATCTGAAAAACAAATGCCTAATGAAGCCAGAAATATCTGCCAAAAGGCACAAACATTGCGGCTATGCAGTTAACAAGCTCAACACAGTTATGTCACTCAGACAAGCAATGAAAAAGAAGAATCAACAATAATTTTTAAAATTTAACCTCCTTACCTTCCATAGAAATATCATAAATAATTTTCCAGGCTTGATAATGGAATGGATCCTTGGATTGAAGCTTCACCACACAATCGTAAGCCTTGCGCTTAAACTCTTCATCAGTGTCAAAACGCTGTTTTGATTCCTGGAACATGTTTGGACAGTGTATAAGATGTACTTAATGGTTTCTGCCTTCAGTGAAACTAAGGCATGTGCACCAAAACAAATAATAACGACTTAGCAAACATTAACACTAAAGAAACATTTTCAATGAGAGAAAATATTAGTTCTGGCCAGGGCACATTAAGTCCCAGGGGGTTTAGCATCAGAGTTCCAAGGGGTATTAATACAATTTTGAAATTTCACAAGTGTTACCCATTAAAACAGACCATACTAACTCCGCTGCCACAGAACATACACAGATTATATTTCAAAGTGACCAAGGATTGTTGAGGAATATTAGAACACTGCTACAATAATAGTTACTGGTGAGGACCAAGGTTCATGGGAGCATACAGTGGATGAAGAAATCTCTTGTACCTGTTTACCATCACCACATGTCAACAGATCTACACAAATCAGATAACCCAGTGAAACATCAGTTGTCTCAAATAATGTGCTCCTCAAAGTTTGTTCTGAGACTGGTTTGTTTAGAGGATGAATTTATTTTCTACATTTAAAAAAATAATTTAATAAACCTGTTCCAGAAGCTCAGGTTTGTGCGTATAAGAAGTTTGACAATATTTCATGCAACAACAAAAAAAAATAAAAAACACTAAACAAAAACAAGGAAAAAAACTCGAAATCTCACACATAAAAAAAAAACACACACACAATTGCAGATACAATACAGACGGCAATGTAAACAACTTATCACAACAGATGAGAGCTCATGGTATAAATGGAAGACAGTGAGTGAAGGAAAAGAGATTTTCTGGTAACATAAAAACGTAGATAATCTTTTCTGGGGTTTTTATATTTTGCTATTCTGTTTGAGTTTTTCATGTTTTGTGTGTGTGTGTGTGTGTGTAATTTTTTTATGTTACTATCTCAAAATGAATTATTGTATAACCGTAGGTGAAAAAAAAAGATTGCACTGAAGTGAGAAACAACAAGAATACTTGGTTATGCAGATGATATAGATAAAGCAGAAGAAATAAAACTACAGACGGGGATACATTAACTCACTTAAAGGAAGCAGCTCAAAAATGGGACTAATTATCAATCAAAATAACAAAATATGACAATACATGGTAAGAACTACATTGGGAAAGGATGAAAACTCTGGCTACAAAAATAGGTAATATAAAAATCAAAAGCCTGCAAACATACAAGTATTTACTAAAAATTAATATGCTCTAACATATCAAGAGAAGAAATACAATCTACACTACAATCTATTTTTTTTTTAAGGATGCTATACTCTACAACATCCACTAAAATCAAATGCTCTACCTTGTAACATCAAAGTAAAGTAAAGATCCCTTTTCACGCCTTAGGTGCATTGGGTATATGGGAAGAGCGTCCCACATTTTTACAGACCAAATCGGCACTGGATGGGTAATGTGGTCAGCATTGCGCCAGCCGTCTTAACTTCCGCAGGTCAGCCATCCTCCTACCCATTTTAGGTTGGATCGACCTGCGACGCCCCATTCCATGAAAAAAATCCATGCAGCCAGCACTGGGTTTCGATCGCGGTATGTTGGAATAAGATGTAACATCAAAATCATAAAATATATAACATTGACTGAAACACTGTCCTGTAAGACTCTAAAACCTGGAGCACAACTAAAAGAGATGAAGCATTTTTAAAAAGTTTGAGAGCAAGCTCTTATGACAAATCTTTGGCTTTATCAAAGATGCAAACTGCAGAGAACAAAAAATGAGAAGCAACAATAAAATTCCCTTTATGATCTGTTTAAATCACCATTAATTACTGGCCTATGAGGGCTAAGTGCAATGGTTGTGCATACAGAAAGAGAGAGAGACAAAGAGACAAACACTGTCTGCACAAAGGAGTTGAATGGGAGTAGACCAAGAAGAGGGTGAACAGGTAATATACAGAGGAGGAAGAAGAAGACCTAGAAACACTCAACAGTCATTAAGGGGAAAGAGAAACCACAGAGATAAATGGAAGCAGGTGATATTTGCAAGGATGAACCTCAAAGGCTTGGAATGCTGAAGAAGCAGAAGAAAAATTAACAAGTACTCACTTTATAAAAGGCATGCAAATCTTCAATTGGGGGTCTCTCTTCTAATAAGTTGGGATACTTCTCAATCAAATGGGCTATCAGCATCCCAAACTGTGTTCCCCAGTCGCCAAGGTGGTTCACACGCACAACATCATGCCCCACCCACTCCATCAGATTGCCCAAGCTGTCACCAATGATTGTTGATCTGAAAATTTTTTTTTTTCAATGGTTAAAAAAAAATTTCAAAATAAATTTATAAACAAAATGACCCCCTAGTGAGTGCTTATTATAGCTATTCAAAACTACTGCTGCTTACCAATTGAAACTCCAAGAATTTGCTATTTTTTTTAATGGGGTCATAGGCATTTTAACCTCTTTTCCAGGGTAGTGTTGGACACCTGGGCTACTTGACTTGTGCATGCATGACTAAACATGTCTACAGCCCGTTACTATATTCTAGACTAAATGACACAGGGAAGTAAATAGAAGGGATTATCATTCAATGCCAGCTAAGCTGAATACACAGTAGCTTCCCAAACACCCAATTTCAATCTGCCTTATATAAGAAACATAAATACAGTGGGAGTTTTATCTGACAGAATCCTAGTTTCTGATAAAGATACAGAAAGGTTTTATCAACTGAAATATGCATAAATATGATAGCAATAGTATTTGTAATTGTGTAAATTGTTGGCACCACATGAAAATGTTCTCAATTCTGCAAATTTTCTTCATAAAGAAGCAGCTCACTGCTAGCTCAATATTTGTTCTGAGCTCCAACCAATCACTCATTGACTTATTGCATCAAGAGATGTTTATTTACTTCAACTACTCTAGCAAACTGCGACTGCCAGCTGTTTTTTTTTTTAAATATCCAGAAACCATGAGTTGTTAACCCTTTGGCTCGGTACTTTAGATATTGCAACCCTTCAGCTTTGATTCCATGATAGATACTGTAAATCTGGGAGATATGTGGCTTTTTCTGCTTACCACCGGGCCTAAACCCAGACCACAAGGAGTTCGTCACCCGGTCGCTGCAAAGTCAGGTTTAACCAACTACGCTAGCAAGCCCGGTGACTGCCAGGTGTATTAGCTGCTATTTTGAAGCTATTGCGCAGAAGTATCAATACAATTTGCCAACATTGAGCTACTATTGTTATACAAGATTGACCGGCCCCGGGACAATCACTGGTTGGTAAATGTGACCTAAAATCGTTGGTTCAGCCCCACTACAGTCTACCTGGCACAACAAATATGATCTGCTTTTGACGATAGGTGTGTCAATACAAAAATGTGAATAAACTTCTTAGGGATGAAAACAGAAAATGGACTTCTACGCGCTGAAATCTGATTGCTGAATGTTGTCAAACTTCCCTCTGCTTTGACTACAAATTTGGCAAATGGATTTGACTGTTCTGCATGCTGAGCTTGCCAAATGTGAAGGAAGTATTATTTTGTGGATATGAAAATAACAAAAATACATGAACTTCATCGCAACACAAACAATTTTTGCAAGTAAAATAAAGCTGTGCTTTCATTGCATTTTTAATAACAAGCAGTTTTTGATTAGAGTGGTTGATTTTTGTATTTAGTTGTAAACGATTCATTCATTTGCTTTATTTTGTTTAACTGCTACAGTGGTATGCACCTGATGAGACATTGCGAATTATAAAAGTAAAAATAGTAAACGTCCTTTCACACACCAGTGGTGCAGCGGGTATATGAGGCTAGACATATTTTTACCGATAAATCGGTCCTCGTTGAGTGATGTGGTCAACATCATAGCATCCGCCTTTACCTCTTAGGGCATTACCTGGCACTAATTTGAGGCTGGGTCAACCTGTGAGCCAAGGTTATGTTTGAAAAACTCCTGCACAGTGTGGATCTGAACCCATGACTTTTGGGCCTACAGGCGAACATCTAGCCGCTACACCATGGCGACTTTCACAGAAATTTATGGCAGACGATAAATTGTGCAATGTACGTTTCTATATTCAAAAACTATGAAAACAGTAATTTGGAACCAATGCCAGTATATACTAGGAGTGTTTAGAGGTTTAAACAACAGTTCACTCAAACTTAAAAATTTAATATAATCAATTGCTCCTTACCGTAAGTGACCAACATGCATCTCCTTGGCAATGTTAGGAGATGAATAATCAATTAACACTTTCTTCTTCTCAACATGAGGTGGCTTAACCCCTTTGGTTAACAGAAACTTCAGCTCTTTAGCTACAAATTCCTTTGCCAGGGATATATTGATGAACCCTGGTCCAGCTATCTCAATCTGAAAGTCAGAAAATGTGTTTTTCTTAATGATTATGAGTGGTTTTAGAAACACCTAAACTATACAGTTACAGAATAACAAAGGAGGCTGCGTGGTCTCAAAGAATGGCATCTGCCTCGAGTGCTAGAGGTCGCGGGTTCAAACCCTAGTGAAGGCTGGGATTTTTTAAGTGAACTTCAAGTAATTTCCCCAGGTCTCTAGCTAGTAAGACAGACGTCTGCATGTATTGTTGCGAACGTAAAAAAAATTATTTGGCAGTTGGAAATCGAAAAAAGAGTAGCCTAACGGCACTGACCGGACAAAAATTGGAATTTAAAATCCACCCGAAAGTGTTTCAGGATCCTCGCCGGTGCACTGCCCTGAGATTCTTTAGACTCAGGCTGAGTTAGAAGAAGAACGAAGCACTTCTGGGTTTACACCCATGTACTATGATGTTGATCCGTCGACTAAACTAAACAGAATAACCTGCCTTCTTGACTTCATCAAGATTAAACACCTCAACCTCCGTGTGGGTTCCGGGGCCCCAGTGTGGGGAAAACAAGAGTAGACCCACTGCCTCAACAAGCATGTTGTAGGAGTCGACTAATTGGGGACTTCCTTCGAGCAGCAAGGAACAACCAAATGGACTCAAATGAGCAAGTAAACCAGATGTACACGCAAAACTCAGGCTCTGACACAAAGCCAAAGTCCAAATGGACGAGCAACCAGGACTTTCTGTCAGAGCTTACAGCCGGTGAACAAAGAAAGAAGAAGAAACACCATAAACAATTTACTTTCAAGGACAGGAAGCAAAAAAAAAATAAGAATACTGTTTTTTTGACTTCAAAAAAAGAAAGATAAGTTATATAAAGTACATCATTATGATGTAGCAGGTAATTTGCCCCAATCACAGTCTGCCTGAAAAAAACTCGGTATCTTGCCAGCTCACCTGCCTTGTGTACTTTCGTATTCAAGGAGTCATTTATATCTTGCGCCCATCTTCGTGTTAGTTGGCCCTTGTCCCTTTTTCTTGGTACCATGCCTTCTGCTATTTTTTTTTTTTAAATCCGCTATGCCGATTGATATGACCAAAGTATTAATTTCAGCTTTCAAATCAAGATACCGTTTATTAGCCAATTTTCCTTGATGTTCAGATCTTTTAAAATGTCAGTATTTCTTCTCTTCTTTGTCCAAGGTATTCTGAGAATTGTTCTATAGCATTTCAGCTCAAGAGCACCTATTTGCTTTCTGGAGGACTGGGAGATATTCCAGGACCCACCTCCGTGTGTTGCTACAGGGAAGATTAGTTAGTTAGTCTTTCCTCTTGTGTCGAGTGCGGCACATAGGGCCTAGGTCATGACTCTCCATGCATGGCGGTTCTTTGCAATCTGTTGTAGGTCTTGGATGTTTGAGTGGCCCATGAGTGAGCCTTCCCTGATGATAGTTCTACGTAGGGTTTTCCTTGGTCTTCCACGAGATCTTTTTCCCTGTGGTGTCCAAATGAGGGCTTGGTAAGGAAGTCTTGATTTATCCATTCTAAGGGCGTGGCCGACATAGTTCCAGCGGCGTTTTCGTATAAAATTAGACACATTCTCTTGCCTGGATTCTTGCCTTATTTGTGTATTGGTTCATAAATCTGACCATTTGAAATTTAGTATTCTTCTAAGGCATTTATTTTCAAAACTGTCTAATTTTGTGTCTAGAGTTTTCATTGATTTCCAGCTCTCGCATCCATAGGTTAGTACTGGAATCACACAAGAATGGAAGATCTTGAGTTTTGTGTGTTTGCTAAGTGTCTTTGATTTTCAGATGTTGGACAGTTTATTGAAGGCACTAGATGCCAGTGCTATTCTAAATGGTATTTCTCGTGCGGTATCTCCTGTAGATGACATCTTGCTCCCTAGATAAGTGAAACTTGACTTTTTCAAGGCTGTTGATGCATGCTCTCAAAATTGTAATTTTGTTTTTGGTTTCAATAATGAGTTTCTTGGGATAATAATTTGGTAGTTTTTCATTGACATGAAGTACACATATATAAGATATGAAAGAAGGCTAATAAATCAATCTATTCCAAAATTAGAATTGTGGCATCAATTGGCAGAAAAATATATCATTGCAATGCACATGTAAAACAACGTAACGAATTTTATCACAAAACTAGTAAACATTCAAAAACAAATTGTTAAGATTCCCGTATATATTAGCAGGTCCATTAGGAAGGGCACGAGTAACACCGCAGTCTACCATGTATAACATAAGTGTAACTAAAACAAATCTGAGATCCAAGTATCCTTAAGTCTAAGTGCCTCTGAGCAGCTGCGATGATGTAGTGGCTAGATACCCGCACTGAGTCTTATTTTTTTTTCCAATATGGCCTTGACTCCTATGTCGACCTAGTCTAAAATGTACCAGGTAAGTAAGGTCTTAGGATATTGCTGACTACATCACCAGCCATGTGCTAAGAAAGAAGTAAGAAGTCTATGAAATCTAGTTCCGGCAACGTTTTGTCACTGTAGTAATGAAGAGTGCCAAGAAAAGGAATCCCCTTGAAAAACAAGAAGTCAGAAAGAATGATTATAATTGTTGTCTGTCCATCCCCAGTGATTAAGACCACTTTTCATCTAAAGTAGTAATGATCAATGATTATTTAAAAAAAGGTGGCTGATTAGTTCAATATGTATCTAGAAAGTTTTCTGAGCAGCAAGGACAACAGGTGATAGCCGCAGTAAGTGTGGGATCAGCAATACTGTTCTTTCTAGTCTGCCTACGTTTCTCTGCCTGTGCAACCTTCACTGCCTGGCAGGCTGATGCACCATGCCTGAGAGATGTAGGCCATCCAGCACGGTCTTGTGCAGCAGTCTCCCATGTCGCTGGGTTGATGTCAACAGAATTGAGAGCAGTTTTGAGAATATCTTTATAGAGCTTTTTCTGTTCTCCCTGGGACCTCTTTCCTTGCTGGGGTGCGCCATAAAATACTTTCTCTGGGGGGCGTTAAGTCTGCCATTCATGCTTGGTGACGAGCCCAACACCGCTAATAATTCTTCTGTATATGCATTAGGTCTTTCTCATTAAACAAAAGAGGTACTCTACTTAAGTGCACCTAAGCTGAGCGAGTAGGGCGCCCACCTGTCCTCTAAGAAACTACTGTCAAAAGGAAAGATAACACACTCCTCGGTCAATGTGAAGGGCAATGGGAAAATGGCCACACATAGTTTTTGTGTGTGATTGTGATGGATTCAAAAAGAGAGACACAACAATTCAAACAAACAACTAACACTCAACTTACCTTCTCAAAGAATGATGTCTTTGGCAGATTGTTGATTATGGTCTGTGCAATCTCCCGTGGGTTTACTTTTGTTCCTTGTATAGATCCCAATTGCTATCAAGATCAAATGTAACCAATCTTATAAGGCGACGTGAATACATCAAAGTTTCTCAGTTAGGTACACAGATAATGGTCACACTTTTGATCCATGTAAATCTTCTACTTCTGATCTCTGTGCCCCAATGGGGCTACTACTTCTTCTTCTTCATCTTCGCATTTGCACTGACCATAACTGCACAGTGTGTAGACGTTGCAAAATTTAAATATTATTTGTGATGAAAAATGGTTGTTTCAAACTGTGACGTCATTATAACCATATAATATCACTTTGCTTTATGTGGCTGTGTCAATAAAATCTGTTTTCATGTTCAAACGGAAGGAAAGCAGTTAATTCTTTGCTATATTTGCATTTATTCTCATAATGAGAATGAATCCTGATATACCTGCCAAAACAACTCTCACATGGACACCAGAGGGAAAGAGAAAACAGGGGCGCCCAAAACAACATGGAGACGAATGATGGAAAGTGACTTGAGTGCGGCATCTTTGACATGGAAAACTGCACTGAAGATTGCGCAGGACAGGAAAGCATGGAAAGTCCTCTCTGAAGCCTCATGTGCCACTAGGCATAACAAGAACTGATATTTGCATTTAGTGATAAATTCCCTATATGACCAAAATGATTTTGCTCAATAAAGTGACTGAATTTTTTTAACTTGATTTATTTTTTGGTTTGGAGGGTGGGGGGGGGGGGGGGGGGGGAGGGGGGCGACTTCACAGCCGCATGCCCACTGGTCTAGGTTTTGACACCCCCGGATGCTTATAAAAATTGATCAAGACTTAACATTTCTCCTGCTTCTTCATCCACTCCCTTAGTTTCTTGGGGCAAAGTTTCAGTGAATTAGAAGGATGTGTTTCTATTTTTTTTTTTTTAGTTCTCACGCAGTGAAATGGTTAAAGATATCTTTTAAATTCTTGCCACATTCAGTATGAGACTGAAATCCTAATGCAGCAGGTGCAGAAGCTAATGTTCTCCTCAACGACAACTTTGATGATGAAGACGCAAATACAAACATAGAAGATCCTACATTTTACATCAATGGTGTACATAGGTCTCAGCATAATCACATGGCAGATCTGTTACAGAAACCAGGTTTCTACCACAACAACAAGCAGTATGACAATGACAGCCTTGGCAGTAACAATAATATTATGTTGACTTTAGACATTTTAAAAACCTAACTCTGAGTTTGTTTGTGAAATTTGAGGTCCAGGTTCTAAACAGGCTTTGGATTGAATAAATCAACGATAATTGAGTAATGTTCAATTCCGTACTATGAGATGCAAGTACTGTGGGTAATGAAAGAGTAGATAGGTTCAAATGCACTGCCAATAATAGATCCAAATAATATTTCAAATACCTTATAAGTGTAATGAGCATCAATATGTAATAAAAATAAAAAATATTATATTGCATAAATCTCATTATTTAATTCCTCACTCCAAATGATTAAGCCAGCACAAATGAAAGAAATATAACATGTTTTAACTAAACTATTGTTTCAGATGCCAAACTGTATACATACCTGAGCAATTGACATAGAACTGTTGCACTGATAGTCAGCAAATTTGGCAGAAGGCACCACAAGGATGCTAGGGTTGGCAATCTCCGGGAAGGCATCATGGATGGCCAGAGCAAAGATGTCTTCAATAACACCACGGACATCCAAGGCACAATCCCGGACACGCTTCTGCTCCTCAGCTAGGTACTGAAAGAATTAAAAACAAGTGCTAAATGTAAGTGGTAGCTGAGCCTAATGTGAGTGGTATCTGATGCTTGTTCAAGCTTAGGTCCAAGTTAATGACGGGAGTAATAAGCATGTATGAAAAAATATGAAATAAAACATAACAAATTTGTCTGAAGTGGTAAACCACATATTCTAGATCACAATATTTGTGAAATAGGCAGTTACTCTTCATCGTTTTGCTTCCCGACTACTTCAGCTCCACATATTTTAAAAACCCATGGCAACTTCTGAGCCTCAAAAGGTTTACAAAAATACCAACTCTTAACTTAGTCATCACAAAAATGTCATAAAACCAGCAACGAACCTGACCCCCCCCCCCCCCCTTCTTATTAGTGTTCTTTTTTTTTCATCTGAGTGATGTATATGTGTGTACCCGTTTACAGCTGTCAGCCGACACATCTGACTTCAATGAGCATTTGCTGACTAGATTAACTTCTCAGATAGGTTTCGTGGGACAGGGACATGTTGTAGCCTCATTGTTTGAAACTTTGTTTCACCTAGACACTTGTCATGACAGTGTTGAGAAAGCATGTGTCAGACATTATGATTACTATATCACAATCTTGCTTGCTTAGTAACTTAGTTGGAATCCACCTTTTATAAACATGCCTCATCTTTCAGCCAAGTGACCCGGTTACGACAGGAACACTATAATATGTGGCCAGGCAGCTGTTCACTACAGAACATGTTTAACATGGGAAACTGAACACAATATAGAATATTCATTTGTAGATCATGGAGAAATGGGGGGGGGGGGCGGAGTGGGAAGGGGGAGTTTACTAAAATTAGCTTTCATTTTGAATGCATCCATATAAAGTATATAGTGCAGACCGCTAAAGGCGATCTCTGATGTGGCGAAATGCTGTTGTGAAGAACAACTTGTTTATCCCTGGTATAAGAAACTCTTACCTCTACATGTTGTGGCATTTACTGATGAGGAAATCTGAATTTATGGACTCAATGGTCCGATGTGCAATGAGGATAATCTGCTGATTACCCAGCTAACCTAGATTAGAGGAATTTCTGATAGAAACAATAATTAACTGGGTCCCGGTGAATTCCCATTAACAGGTCTGCACTGTAGTGTGCGCTTTCTGAAAGGCTGCTATGGTTTTTGGAAAAATATATTATCTTGCTCAGAACTACTCTATGTAGAGAAATGTTCAAAACTAAAAAGTCACATTATTTTACAAAATTTGTCAAGAAAATCTACACATCACATAGCCTCTGGTTGCACTCTTTATGATTTGTAACTGTACTTATTTTCCCAAAATGGTCACAAAACATGAATTTGACAGACACAGGCTTAAATAAGGCAATTCTTTACTAATAGTATTCACATTTTAAAATGAAAATCTTTGCCTAAATGTCTTTTATTTACCCGTTTAAGATGGTTTAACTGAAATTTCAGTTTCTGATTTTCAGATCTAAACTTCTCAAGCTCCTCGGATGCAGTGCTGAGCTGTTCTGGATTGGACAACGCTGCCAGTTCACCTTGAAGACGCTCTATTTCCTTCTCCTACACAAATAACAACAAGATAAGCCTTAAGCATCCATTATAATTATGAGTTAGGTTATCTTTATGGCACTCTAGACATGTCCCTTCCTGTTTTCCCACAAATGGGCCCTAGAATCCACACAAGGAATGAAATCATATTATCTACCAATTGTTTTTTCATTTATAAATTCTCCAGCAACAAGGTCATGATACAATCCCTAGATATGGTATGAATTTACTTTGATCCTAATTATATACCTTTGTAAAATAGATACCACAGGACATTTTCTATTGAGGGAACTATGTCACCATTACGGCAGGACTCAAAGTGATGTACTGGATACATATATATATATCTGTGTTTGTGCATGCGCGCACATATATATTCATATGTATGTGTATACATATACACACACAGATATATATATATGTGTGTGTGTGTGTATGTATATATATATATATATATATACACACACACACATATATATCTGTGTGTGTATATGTATACACAGATATATATATGTGTGTGTGTGTGTATACATATGCTCCACAGGAAAAAAGACTGAATACCTTCCATATGCGCTGTCTGAGACGCATCCTTGGTATATTATGGCGAGACCTTGTCTCCAACGAATGTGTGCTCACAAGAGCAAAAATACCATCAATGAATTGTATACTGAAGCAAAGACGTCTGCGCTGGCTGGGACATGTCTCCCGCATGGAGGATGGTCGTATTCCAAAAGATCTCCTATATGGTGAATTGGTAACTGGGAATAGACCTACAGGAAGGCCAAAGCTGCGCTATAAAGATGTATGCAAATGTGACCTAATAGATACCAATATAGGCACAGAGACATGGGAAAAATCAGCTGCAGTTCGACTACTATGGAGACAGAAAGTGAAAGATGGACTGTCACATTTTGAAAGAAACTGAACACAACGAGCTGTGGAGAGGAGGCACCGGAGAGTAAAACTGCCTCACAACGAGAGAGTATCTGCTTTTGTGTGTATCCTGTGTGGCAAAGACTGCCATTCCCGTATCAGACTTTACAGTCACAGCAGATGCTGTTCCCAAAGCCAGCGGCACATCTCCATAGTCCCCCGGGACTGACGGATGCCATTAATATGTATACACATACATATGCGTGTACATATACAGATATGTAGGTGTGTACATATGTGTGTATGCCAGGAATTGTGGTTGGTCGGCATAACATAAACAACCTATGTTACATTGATGACACTTCCCTTCGTCTTCTTCGCGTTCACCAGCTGTAAACTCTGGCTGAAAGTTATGGTTGTTCATCCACTTCTGGACTGCAGTCCTGTTCCAGAACCTGAGTGTTACGTGTGTATCCTTTTTACATATCTGACCCACACAGGGAGACTGATGACACCATCTTGATAGCTACAAGTCAGAGGGAACTACAGGAATTGATAGATGCGGTGGTGGTAGAAAAAGATAAAATGGGCCTCAGTCTGAATAATGGAAAGACAGAAGTAATGGTGATTTTCAAGAAAAGAATAGTGCACATGGATAACATTTGATGAAAGATGTATCAGAGATAAATAACAGAATAGGACAGGCCAAAACTGCATTTTACATAGAACAAGTTTTAACATATGGCTGTGTAGCCTGGATAATAAATAACCCAGATGTTTTGAAAGAAGCAAATGCTCAAAGACAACTTATTGCGAACATCAAAAAGAGGCAGTCATCATTTTTTGTCATGTTATGAGAAGAGGGAAAATGGAACATGTTGTGACTACTGGAAAGATCTGTGGCAAAAGAGACAGAGGAAGACAGCGCGAAAAGATTCTTGACAGACCTTTGTCATGGCATGTCAACACATGAACTGATAAACGCTCACGTTAGTCAGCAAGGCACTTGATGTTGATTTGTATGTAACTAGGCAAGTGAATTCTTACAATTAGATAACGTTGATGTTGAACAAGTAAAGAGTAAGGTAGGTATAGTTTTTTAATGTAAATAATCTTCACATGTGTCTAACATCCTTGAATGTTGTGTGATTGTAATAATATTTTGTTGTAATCCTGACAAATAGTTTAGATTTATTCTGCACTTATTTATCTTTAATTTGATATATTATTTGTCCCTATACAGCCAATACTTTTCTTCAGGAAGGTTTTAGCTTTTTCACGTTGCAGTAAAAAAACATTCCGCTCAAAATTAATGCTGTCCAAATCCCAGAAAAAATGTGGTCCTGAAAGAGTTAAATCATGTTGAATGGTTCAATTCTTGTTCGCATCACATCATGCCAAATAATGCAAGTCTTTCCCCTACATGATGCCGAATGATGTAATCCTTTCCATTACATGATGCAATCCTTTCCCTTACATCACAGTGAATGGTGCAATCCTTTCCCATTGCATCATGCCAAATGATGTAATCCTTTCCCTTTGATGCAATCTGCTGTCAACATAAGCATTCAGAAGCCATGGCAACAGCCTGTGTGTGTGTGTGTGTGTGTGTACTACCTATGTTACATGTGTGGTATTGCTTATCAATGGTGCATAATCATGGCATACAATCCATAAAGATTGCTTAATTTACATTGGATCTTTTTAGTATTAGCATATCCTTGTCAAATGGATACTACAGTAAATCATGGCTATTCAACTGATATCCCACTGGCCAAATCTGGCCTGCAGAGGCCTAGCAAGTGGCCCGCGGATCATTTCCAGATGTACTGAATCCATGGTCTTTCTATGCTGGGGCTCATGCCTCTGATGATCCTTGATTTCAAAATTGTTGCCCTAAGTAAACTTAGAGCCCTGCCATAGATAACTTTCTAGGGGAAGGCAAGGAGATGTAAGTAATCTCACCCTTATGACAGGACCTAGTGCAGTGTTGGCTGTATATCAATATGTATGTGTGTGTAGTATATAATTTTAACTCACTTTTTTTTCAGTTATTCACAATTTTAATTAGTATTTATAATAATAGTAAATTAATTTTATATCTGATCTCACACAGCATTATCTACTTTTGGACTCCAAATCGACACGTGACAAGTGAAGGTTTTTAATTTATCGCTGACCTGTCATAAAACACGGACCGCTCAATTTCAACTTCCTTTCCAGTTCATTGTGTATGATATCAGACGTGCTCAATTAAAAAAGTGGTCTGAGAACCGAAAATATAGTTTATTTGCGAGATTTACCGGGTTATTAAGCGTGCGTTTGAAAAGAATATGGCCGCCAAGCAGTATTCTACAGGCATGCCAGCAGGATTTATGGCCTTAGAAGACACAAATTTAAATAAATTATGTGTTTATTCAATTTATCCGAAGTTAGATTGATAACGTTGGGAATTAGATGCGTTTCATTAATTTATAGAGTCGAACTTTGATGAGGGATATGTCTAATGTGTACCTCACGCGAAGGTACAACGATAGCAAAGTCCGTTGGCACAAATAGAATAAATATTAGTGAAAAGACGATTTTCTTCAGTGTCAGTTAGTTTTAGTGCTATTCCCCTTATTATTTAGGAACATAGCTACAAAATAACAGGCAAATTGAGTGTTTTAAAAACTTTGTTTTGTGTGAAGATACTTATTGTTTTGGGAGTCAGTTCTCTTTACCAAATAATGGTGCTCTGTTATGAGGCTTCAAGAGATTCGGCTATCCTCCGAATAACGGTCAAAAATTATCAAGGCCGAAAATATACCCTAACAGGGCCTCAGTCACATGTAAACTGCGGACTTCTGAACTACCCCCCAAGAGAATCTCCCACGCCACTTCGCACGGTGTGGAGCCGGGCTAAGCTAGATGGCTGGGACTCATGAGCAAATAAAATGAAGGAAGCTGCAAGAGATGCGGTAGCTGCTGCTTGTGAGTCCCAGCCATCTAGTCTAGCCCCGCTCCACGTCGCGCGTAGCGACGTGGAAGATATTCTTGGCGGTGGCGGTAGTCGCCGGAAGTCAGCAATTTAAGTCACCAGAAGTCCACAATTTACATGGGACTGAGGCCCTGTCAGGGTATATTTTCGGTCTCGATAATTTGGGACCGTTATTCGGAGGATAGCCAAAGATTCTTCGAAACAAAATTTAACATATAGATTAAGTTTATATTTTACTTATACATTACTAAGTCGTTCATATTTATTTGTGATTCATTTTGGATGTGTTTTAACCAGTTTCATTGAGTGCCATGATGGTAAGTGTAATTTTTTTATATTTTATTTTACTAATTTTTGAAAACATACTGTCTTTGTATGTACTAAAATTTAATAACTAACGCAATTATTTGTTTTAGCTGTATTCTATAATTATTCCCAAACAATCCCTGGCTACTTTGATGTATAATATGCGTATGTTGCGCGGCAATTGAATTAGTACAGTCTGTTTTAATGTGAGTTATCCTCTGAATAACAGCTCCAAATTATCGAGGCCGAAAATACGTGGAGCGGGGCTAAACTAGATGGCTGGGACTCACAAGCAGCAGCTACCACATCTCCTGCAGCTTCCTTCATTTTATTTGTTCCCGAGTCCCAGCCATCTGTTTAGCCCCACGCCGCTTCGCGCATAATACTCTCGGCCGTGGCGGTATAGTCGCCGGAAAGAGGTCCGCAATTTACAAGTGACTAAGGCCCTGTTAGGGTATATTTTTGGCCTCGATAATTTGGGACAGTTATTCTGAGGATAGCCTTAATGTGTTACACTTGTGAAATTAAAAGTTTGGCTATTCTCATATTATGGCGGCCAAAAACAGGGCCTCAGTCGCATGTAAATTGTGGACTTCCGGCGATTATACCGCCACCACCGGGAGTATCTACCGCGCCGTGCATAGCGGCTGCTCGTGAGTCCCAGCAATCTAGTTTAGCCCCGCTTCGAGTAGCGGCGCGGGAGATACTCTTGGCGGTATAGTCGCCGGTCTGCAATTTAAGTCGCCGGAAGTCCGCAATTTACATGTTACTGAGGCCCTGTCAGGGTGTGTTTTTAGCCGCCATTCGTTATTCGGATAGCCAAAACTTGCATTACCACCCCTTAGGCCTCTGATGCTAAACCCCCTCTGACTCAAAGAGTTAAACGTTAGGAATACCACCTGTCTACATCAAGGGACTGAGTGAGTGACAGAATACTCTCAATTAATTATATAAAAATGTCGGCGTCTGTGGCTTAGGCGTTGCGAACGCGCTTAGTAATGTAATGTCTGGGTGCCGGGTTCGATCCCAGCTGCGGGCCTTGCGCATTTCGTTGGTCTCGACAGTGGAATCGAGAAGCCGACCGTCCAGTAAGCAATGGCAAACTACTTGGATGTAAATTTGCCTAGAAAAAAATGCAACGTCCTGTAAAGGATACGAAACTAACTTTTAAATTAATAAGTATAAGATAATTTACGTGCAAACAGTTCGAATAATAATTTAATTAAAGCAGGTAAAACGGTCAACTATTTACTATCCTAAGCGAGTTCGGCATTAATTGAAATAATCGTACCGTCTTTTCGACCTTCTGAAGGTAGTGAACAAACTTTTCTTCAACAGTAGCCATGCTTAGTTCACGTCTGCTCTCTCTCAACTGATTACGATTACTGATGTGTGCGTTTTGCGCTGGAGTCTCTTCCACCAGAGTTACCGCCCCTGTATATGCGCGCGCACTTGCAGTTCACAGGGAACTGTCATAGCAATTCCTGGTCGCATGCGTATTTCCCAGAAAAGTTTTTATCTGTCTGGTCTTTTGTTTGTTCCCTGTCAAGCCTGCAGAAATGTCTTGTTCCATGAGTTGGTTCAGGCTTGACGCTGGATGATCGATTAATCGAGGGGACACCATCTGGATTTCTACCCGGGGGTGCGGGTCGCCCTGGGTGCCATCACTGAGAGGGGGCAGAAGACTGAAGAATGGCCCAAAAATTTGTTTTTAGTATAAACTTTAAAAAAAAAAAAGTGGTTCAGTCAACAAATGCAAAGAAATTAAATCAGTCTTCTAAATGGTGAGAAAATGAACCTGAAAGGTTTACTACACAGTTGTACTGATTTTGTCCACAGGCAAAATAAGTGCTTAGAGGTTCTTAGCAAAAGCCAATGGTTGACGTTTTGTCCAGGAGAGCCTATCGTAAGATACCATAATAACGAGCCTAAGAGTGAAGGTGGTCACTGCAGCTTTTCGCTGGCTAGAGCAAGCAACCCCCCCCCCCACACACACACACACACACACACACACACATCGTGATTGTAACTGACTCAGAAAGCATGTTGAGGGAGGTGAGGACAGGCGTGCTGAGTGGCATGCTTCGCATGGGTGAGGAGCATTGTCTGGACTTTTTCTCCGGGTTATGACGGAGTGCTGGGAAATGAACAGGCAGACATACCGGCTTGCACTGCATAACTTGGTCGAATGTCAATTCATTATAATATAGATGTGGTTAGGACCTTGTGGGAGATAGTGTACGATTCGGAGGAGCAAACGGATCACAACAGTCTGGTGAGAGTGATGCAGCGGGGAGTAACAAGGAGATCTGGACGATACTCGACGCTCTGAGGAAAGGCAAGACATATAATTAGAATGCTGTTGGCACCATTGGTATTGTAAATCTGCGCTGGCTGCTGAAGATGAGGACGGAGCGCTTATAAGAATACCTCGAGTGCTGTAATGTCGGTTCTTGAATCAATTCAACTCAGCTCAACTGATTTTGTTAAAGACTTTTTGGCACTGATGGAACTGAGTGGCAATTAATTAAAATGTATGAATGGTTTTCGGTCTTGTGGGAAACTTCATCCGAAAGTTAAAAGTCATTTAACTTTTGAAAAAAAAAATTACAATTGTTTCAAGCAAATGATGACTAATTTAAGAATCGACATTATGGCGCCGGGCAAACCCATAGGTGCTCCGTCTAGAGCAGCAAATGTCTTAAGGTATAGATGCTAACTGTTCCCGTGGAATACTGATTATACACACGTTGTTCTCTTCCTCTCACCCGTCCCTCCTTGTCGGATCCACACTTAAATCCTCGTTCACACATTCTTGCACATGTTATTTCATCTAATCTCATGTCGTCTGTCAACATTCTTTAGAATATCTCCCTTGTAAAGTACGAGTGTTCTTGTAGCTAGATAATCCACTCTTTCATTCCCTCGCACTCCTGCATTTCAGGACAGTATATCCACATGATTCCCTGTAATATTGGTGTGCTGATGCTTGATATCCACTCATTCCAAATTCGTCACTTTTGAACCTTCCGGGGTGCCTACTGAGAATTAAACACACAAATTCCTCTGGTAACTTTGTTTTCTGCTATCCAAAGACGAGCTGCCGTGATTGCTTTGTTTCCAGCAGAGCAATGTGCTGGTTTTACGGGTCCTCGTGTAAGTCTCCGGCCACACATAACTGTCGAGCGCTACGGATTATGGCTCATATGGGCCTGAACCCATCTTGTAGGACATCTCAGAGTTGGTAACCCCCAAAGATGTTAAACATCGAGGGACCGACAGTGGAATAGCCTTGCCGTATTACATGTAACTGATGGACATCTTGAGCATAATCAGCTGACAGGAGCAGTTTGTCGTGATGTACCTCAAAGCGGTGACGAAGACGTTGAGGGACGACAAGGGATGTACAGAGATGGGTTAAAGTGACTCGGAATGCTTCAACGAGGTCAACACACTGTTTCCTAGAAGCAGCTACGCAGCTTTCTTTTCTCTGTGGGTGAGTGTTGTTTCTGGAATGTGTTGTGATTAGGTCTCAGGCGCCGAAGGCGACTGTATGCAGTGAAAAAGTACAGCGGAAGGACGACGATTAGTGAGTATCGAATCTTGATATTTTTGTATTGTTAAACTCGTTGGCTGTTGTCAGTGGTAGATGTGATTAAAACATTCAAAATAAGCAATACATGACACCCCTGCAAAATAGGGCTGCCTGTGGGAACCATACGAAATCACACAGACGTACGCGATGGGGTGAAAAACGCGAGTTTCATAAAGACGTAGGCGTTGCGAACACTTTTCCTAATGCTGGGGAGCTGGGCTCGATCCCAGTTGCAGGCGATTTGGCAATAGACCGTCTTGCGTTAGTTTCAATAGGGGTACCGAGAGCTGACCGTTGAGAAAGCATTGACAGACTACTGAACGTAATATTTGCCTTGAAAAATAACAACAGCCAAAAAATGCTGGGGTTGGTTTTGCAACGTCCTGTAAAGGATATGCAACTAACTTAGGCACCCCTCTCCGTTTTCCTTTTGTAAAATTTATTTTGGTGCCTAAGACCCCAGCTTCCGGCACTCCTGGGCACAAGACCTTTGGGTGATCATGTTGGTATCAGGTTCATAAGCTGAATTTTTTTCAAAAATGACCTTGGCTCGCAGGTCGACCCAGCCTTGAGTGGGTACTAGGTAAAGTCATGTGAAGTAAAGGCGGCTGGTGTGATGCTGACCACATTAACCACCAAGTGTCGATTGGTCTGGAAAATATAGGTCTAGCCCTCTATGCCTGTAGGTTTGAAAATGGGTCCTTTACTCGCCACAAAGTGTGTAGCGCTCACACGTTTAAGATATCTTGTGAAAAACCGCCGTCTACTCCAGAAAGTGTCTTGCTTCTGGTGTCCACTGCAGAATAACAACAATGACTCCAAAGTATTTCGTAGAGCAAATCTTCGACTTCTTGTTTTACAGCAGTGGGGAAGTATTGCAAATGGAGATCATTTAGCTGAGGTTAACCTGAGAGAATCCACTTTCACATCTCTGAGGCCTCAAGAAATTGTTTGGCTTGCCTACCGATTGTCCATGACTCACAGCCATATGTTAAAACTGGATGTATGCAGCAAGCGAGAATTATTTTTCTAACCTTCAATGACAGAGATATATTGCATAAGACGTTCTTCGTTTTATAAAATACAGTTTTTGTCTGTCCTATTCTGTTTCTGATCTCGGTGATGCGTCTTCCATCTGATGTTATCCATGTGCCCAGATATTTAAAATTTAGTACTTGTCCCAAAATAACACCATTGACTTTTATGAATAATTATTTTCCTTGATACCACCATTATTTCTATCTTTCCATTATTCAAACGGAAGCCCATTCTTCCACTTTCAACCACCACAATGTATGTCATTTCATGTAGTTCTTTCTGACTTGTTGCTATCAAGACTGTGTCAACAGCATAATTTAAATTGTTTATATTATGCCCACCAACCACAATTCCGGGCATATCAATTAAAGATCTAATTATAGACAAACAATACATAAACCAAAACAATGTATTTCCGTAGATTGCTTATCAAGCGTGCCTTTCAGTGTGAGACGCAATATTTTGTTGTTTAAAAGCCCCATCCTGGCTGTTGCCGGGGGCCCTAATATAACCCAACCTATTATTTTAAACGGGCGTTTTGGGACCTGACCCCGGGTTATCCTCATCCAAATGGTGGCACTTTGTGTCACCGGGTGTTAATCACTCAGTGTGATGTGCTGGCTGGGTTGAACGTCATCAGTCACCACAATCATGTTCTCCATTGTGAATTTACATAATGAGGACTCAGTCTACTGTACAGTTTATTTCGCTGTATCTCGTCAGACATTGTTTCTGTCGGGAAACTTCCTGCGATTAGATAACAAAGTATCGAGAGAGACCATTCGCATTTCAGTGGAGTTTATTCAGTTTTGGCAAACTTTGTTTTTCGCTGATGCAACTTTGTAGTAACGCAACTGACGAGATACGGGGAACTATGCCTCGCAGTAAATTATGAAATGTTTGTGTCCGCATTACTTAAATAAATAATGACTCAACTAACATTTGGATACTCCAAGGTACTCGACACGTTAGATATCCACATCTTATATAATGTCCTACGGGCTAGCCCCCCACCCAATCCACTTGAACCACAGGCTACTTCGTAACTGTGGCATGTCCCGATCTTTGTCACACCTTTATACTGATTCTGTGATTTGTACTTGGAGATTCTCATCCGAATTGTGGCTCTTTGAGTCACCGGGTGTAACTCTCTTAGAATGCAGACCCAGAGGGGTTGAACTCATCAGATAGTTGAACATTCTGCTGACTGTTACATCTTGTTCGAGGTCAGTGGATTTCACTTGATTTAAAGTGATCATAAATTAGAAGAAGAAATATACAATCGCGAAATCTTGAAAACACTGGGTCTTTAAAAAAAAAACGCCTCTACTGCGTACCACCCGGGAAAAAACCACGGTCAAAGTCCTACCTTTTCAAAGGTTTTCACATTGTGACATATAAACTGTTATCAACAATGTGTGAGAACAGTTGCGCGCTGACGACTGAATCAGCTGTAGTTGGCAATGCTCCCTGCTGGTGAAGGTGAGTACAGATTATCGTTAGCACCTCTCAGTCGTTGCGATACGAAGTCATGGGATCTACAGCTCATGGCGATGTCGAATGTGACTGGCAAGACCTGCTCGCGTCAAGAATAAGTAAAGGAAAGGACCATTTTCCACGCCTTTGAGCATATAGGGCTAGACCTATATTTTTTTATAAACCAATCGGCACAAGATGGGTGATGTGGTCAGCATCACGCCGGCCGCCTCTAC